GGCTAATTATTCTGAGCAACACATTGGTGAAATGCCAGTGTGGATAAAAAATATGAGGGAGGGTAGTGATCAAGTCACACATGAAAACAATGAAAACATAGATGTTGATACCTTCAGTGAAATGCAAGAACTTGCATACAACATTGTCAGGTCTCACTTTAATGACATATCTTTAAATAGAACCCCACTTGCACTCATTATTAATGGAGTAGCAGGTACTGGTAAGAGTTACCTTATAAATGCTATCCGTACACTGCTTGGTCCCAAATGTGCAGTCACAGCGACAACTGGAAAAGCTGCCTTCAATATAAATGGGGTAACAGTGCACTCTCTTTTAAAGTTGCCAGTTGGCTCAAGGGAAAATAAGAATCTTACAGGCCAGAATTTGATTAGATTACAAGAGTCTTTACATAACATTGATTATATTGTAATTGATGAATATTCAATGCTTAGTCAAGTAACATTTGGCTGGATAGATAGCCGATTAAAACAATCATCTGGACTACAAGATAAACTGCTTGGCGGCAAATCAGTTATCTTATGTGGAGATCCAGCTCAGCTGCCCCCTGTGGCAGATAAACCACTCTATCATGCAACCCCAACCAATGGTATTGGTGAACAGGGTTATCTAACATATAAGATGTTTGATAATGTCGTAAAACTCAATGTTAACCAGCGTGTACAGGGATATAATGCAGAACAAACACGCTTTAGAGAATTGCTCTTGAGATTAAGAAAAGGAGAATCAAATTTAGATGACTGGAAACTGTTATTAACTAGACAGCCATCAAATGTTGATAATTTGTCTGAATTTAAGGATGCTACAAGATTGTTCTACAGCAATGAGGAAGTTGGAAACTATAATCATGAACAGCTTATCAAACTCCAGAAACCTGTTGCCCAAATGACTGCTAGGCATTCATCTGCTTCTGCAAAAAAAATATCTGCTGATGACTTTTCAGGTCTTCAACCATTACTTTTTTTTGCTAAAGGTGCAAAAGTAATGCTCACAATGAATTTATGGCCAGCAGTGGGTCTTTGCAATGGTGCTACAGGGACTGTCATACATTTTATATATCAGAATAACCATCAGCCACCCGACCTGCCAATAGCAGTCATTGTTAAATTTGATAATTACCGAGGCCCATCGATTAGTAAGACACTTCCATCTTGTGTGCCAATATGTCCAGTAACTGCTTCGGCACAGTTACCTGATGGTTTCCATGAGAGACAACAGCTTCCCCTTAAATTAGCGTGGGCAATAACGATTCACAAAAGTCAAGGGCTTACTTTATCTAAACCCTGGATAAATATTGGCAAAACAGAGAGAAGTCTAGGAACGACATATGTGGCTCTAAGCAGGGTAAAGACGTTATCTTCTTGTGTTATTGAACCCATCACGTATGAACGATTAGCAAATATAAAATTATCTACAAATTTAAAACACCGATTAAGTGAAGAAGACTGACTAGACCAAATGGCAGAAACAACCTTTAACAGATTTTGCAACAGCACACCAAATCTCACACCTGTTGTATAGATTAGGGCAAAATGTGCAATGTGCCAATACCTAATGAAATATATTAATCATAACCAATAATTTCACTTAAATAAGTAACAAGATACTGTTAAACGTATTTCTTCATTGCGTTGATGTAAATACTATCGGGTCCTAGGTAAGTTAAATAATACGATACGATTAATAAATAATACGAATATAATCTAATTATGCATATATATATATATATATATATATATATATTCAATTTAATATTCAATTTATCTTTTCATTACAGATGGACGACCCTGCCGTTCCTGCCATGCAGATGGACGACCCTGTCGTTCCTGCCGTGCCAAATGAACCACAAGGTATGTTATACTAGCGCATATAAATAGTTACATAATCAGTAATCAGTAGTTAAATCAGATTAAATTGAACGTCACACTAGCAATGTATACGTAAATGCCTTCAATTTCTCATTGAAGATTTTTCGCTATTGTAACACGTTAAAAAAGTTTTTGTTCTCTCAAATTATTAAGTTTAAATTAAAATATACCAAACTGTGTGTGTTATCACAACGTAATCTTTTTTAAATATTTTTTATTTCCCATCTCAGAATCCTCAACGTTAAGTTGCTACTTTCACAATGTATCGGAAGTAAAAAACGCTTCTGGATCGAAAAGAACATATTTTAACTGCATTGTTGAAACCAACCAAAAACCTGTCAGAGCAGTCTGTTTTTCTCCTGAAAAAAGAACAGAGTTACAAACCTTGGCGAAAACCAAAAGCCCGGTTAAGATGAAGAATTTTAAAACATCTAACAAGGACAACGATGACCTCACAATAACAAAATACACAAAGATCACACCTGTCGACAAGGCAGAAGTACCATTCGAGTATGCTGACCATCTTTCTTCTGTTGGAACTGGTGAGCCTGTCACCATTTCTTCAATCCCAAACCTTGCTGCCGAACAACTTATCTCGGTTAAAGGTAAAGTTCTTAAAATATCGGCAGTTAAAATCCAAACCACACGATTTGGCAAAGTGCAAAAGCAGGACGTGATCATTGCAGATCCAACTGGTCACATAAAGTTAGTTTTATGGGGGGACTTTGTAGATACTTTTCATCTTCAAGAAACCTATACCTTGTGAGTTTTACCTAAGCATCCCGAAGAATGACGATTTCAAGGCAGTTCTAGACACTGAATATGCGACACCTGTTGTTCACTATGATGACGCAGCTGATACCACCTCTACGATAGATGCTACCATACTTGGTGTGAAACAAGCTGTTAAATCTCTATCCTGTAACGGCTGTCATAAACGAGAGGTCAAAGTCACTCAGCCTAATAAGTCTGTTTGTCGATCTTGCCACTTACAGCAACGGCCCTCATCTTGCACTACCCACTGGGCTCTACGCCTTTTGCTTAAGCCACAAAACGGATCGAAAAATATCCAACTTCGACTTGATTATGCTACAACAGAAGCTTTATTGCACTTCTTGAACCCCAGTTTTAACCTAGCACTAGCTTCAGAAGACGACATTGTTGCCACCCTATTGGAAAGCTACAACACGTCTTTTACCTTCACCTATGACTCCTTCACTACTCAAGTGTCCAACGTTTTTGGAGCTAAAACAGTTGCTTAACTTTGCTCCTTGACACTATTCGTAAGACTTAAAGATGCAATAAACTGTTGCTTGTTGCTCAACATTATTAGTTGCAGTTATGTTTTAGTACAAATTTTCACAGATTGAACATTGTTAGATTTTATACATTCAGAATTAAGAGATGCTTTCTTTATAAACGTTGCTTGATTATTGTAAATTGATAGTTGCATGCATGGATTAAGGTTATATTATTTCACTTATGGTTCAAATATTTTAATGTCAGTTGTGGTTCAAATTGTTGTCTTTACTTAATTAAATACTTCAAAATTAGAGAATGTGACTTCATTTATATATAGTGCTGTTGCGCCAATGCGAGAATGAATCGTCTTATTTGTAAAAAAAGGTTATCAACTTTTGAACAACTGAAAGTACTGTTGTTTCATTAACCATTAGCCATATGTTGTTCATTTATACCGAATGGCCGAACCGCCGAACGCACTTACTAATCTTTGATTATTACTAGTAATAATAACTGAAATAGTCAAACCATATGTAAACTGTCCGATCCAACCCTCCGGCACCACGATTAGAAGGAATCATCTTCTAGGATTGGACAACATTTCTGAATTGATCGCTGGTATTCTCCAGACTTCGTTTTTACCTTCACGTTCCGAACTACGCTGTCTCTTCCAGGATAGACCTCGACAATATGCGCAAGGCTCCACTTTCCTCTCGCGGCATTCGAATAGACGACTAGGACGATATCACCGACCTTGAATTGCCGTTTCTCTGTTCTCCACTTTGCTCGTCGCATCAGGCTTTTCATATACTCGCGTTGAGACCGATTCCAAAATTGCTGAACGAACGCCTGAACGTACTTGAACCGCTTTCAACAATTTTTGACCTCTCGGAAGGGACCTTGTGAGACTTCTGCTGTCGCTCGACCGAGGATTAAGTGGTTTGGGGTCAAAGGTTGGGGTCATTTGCATTGTTTAAAGGGTACCCGAGAGGGCGGCTGTTCACGAGGCATTCTAACTTGCTAAACACGGTTGACATCTTGTTCCAGGTTAAGACTTGTTCTCCAACCGTCACGCGTAGAGCTTTCTTTGTCTGCTTGATCATACTTTCAAAGAATCCACCCTGGTGTGGACTCAGCGAAGTGTTGAATTTCCATTTTACTTTGTGTACCATCGCAAGTTCTTCGATTGTCTTTCTTCCTTCTTTCAGAAATTTCTTTAACTTGTGTTTGCAGCCGACAAATGACGCTCCGTTGTCTGAAATGACCGTACTGGGCCATCCGCGGCGGGCTGCAAACCGTCTCGGTGCGTGAAGGAAAGCCTCAGTTGAGAGGTCTTCAACAATTTCTAAATGAATCGCGTGAACAGTCGCGCAGGTGAAGAGCGCTCCCCAAGCCTTTATCTTCTTATTTTGGCCATATCTCAGATAGAACGGGCCAAAGAGATCAATGCCGGTTACCGAAAAGGGGGGAGAGAAGACGTTCAACCTTTCGGGTGGTAGATCTGCCATCAACGTTGTGTGTGGATATTGTCGGAGCTTTCGGCAGGCGACGCAATCCTTTACAATCTTCTTCCAAAACTTTCGTCGGGTTTCGCAAAGAGTTCTCTCGCGACCAGCGTGGCATACAAGATTGTGAGCATCCTTGATAACCAACTTTGAGATGTGATGTTCTGGTGGTAACAACACGAGATGGTTGTTGTCGTAGGCTAACGGGGAATGTTTTAATCTGCCTCCAACTCAGATTAACCTTTCATTCTCGAATGGTGTTAGTTCTTTGTAACAATTCTTCCAATCTCCTAACTGTTCTTGGGCTGACAGGATCCAGTAACACTCTGCCGACTCGATTTCTTCTGGGAGGAGTGGACCCTGTTGTCATTTCGATGCCTTCAGGTTTTTTATGAACCTAAGGCAGTATGCAGTGACTCTGCACAATTTTTTCCAGTTTGAAAAACGGTAGGGATCGACGAGAGCATTCGTTGAAGGCCGCTGTGACGTGAATATCGGCTTCGCAACTTTGATATTGGGTAAATCGGTTGGCATATCCTTATGTTCGGGGGGCCACGCTTTGCGACCACCTTTGAGGAACGAAGGACCGTTCATCCAACGCTCGTTGATCTTCGCGAAAAGGATACCTCTGCTAAGATCGTCCGTTGGGTTTAGATCGGTTGGGACATGTCTCCAAGTGGCAGACTCCCACGTTGCTTGTATTTCTGCTACTCTCACCCCAACGAATGGTTGAAGGGAAGTCGATTCCGATCGGAGCCAAGCTAGAACAATCATCGAGTCTGACCACAATATTACGTTGCTGGGCTTGATTTTGAACTCGTCGTGCACCATTTTTGCTAGTCGTGACGCCAGCAGAGCCGCCATGAGTTCCAATCTGGGTATGGTGGTCTGGCGGAGGGGTGCAACTCTTGCTTTTGCTGATATGAGGCGTACTTCTAGACCATTTGCCTGGGTCCAAACCAGGTAAGCAGCTGCTCCATAGGCGAGGTTGCTTGCATCGGCAAACACGTGTAGCTCTGGTAGGCCTAATGAGCCCCTTGGTTGAAGGCACCTTGGAAACTGGACATTCTTTAGATATTTTACCACATCGAACAGCTTCTCCCATGTCAGTTGCAATTTAGAAGGTAACGGGTCGTCCCATCCAATATTTTTTATTTTCCAAATTTCTTGGAGTGCCATCCTTGCCTTTATTGTGATAGCAGTGGCCAAACCTAGAGGGTCAAACAATCTCGAGATGTTTGAAAGGATTGTCCGTTTCGTGTAAAGGCCCGTCCGTTTGAATTTGATTTGGAAGTAGATGGTGTCTGCCTGTGGATTCCAGGAAACGCTGAGGGTTTTGATGCCCTTTTCTTTGTCTAGACTAACTTCGTTTTCTTTTTGCTTCTTCTGTCTTTCAGGTGCTTGATTACTCAGACTGGAGCTCGTATCATTGTGCGTTTCATTCTTGTCTTGTTGTAGCTGTTGGCATGAGCAATGCCACTCCTTGATCTTAAAACCGCTTGCGTTAAGTATTTCGTCGACTTCGGTCATTCTCTGGGCGGCGTCTTTTTCCGAAGGACAGGAATGGATTAAATTGGCTACCTATCTGTCTCGCTCTAAGATCTTTGAGGCTTCAGATTTTCTCTGTTGTCTTTTGCGATCCTCAACATTACGAAACTCGCCATATCCGGGGATGGCTTGTCGCCAAATGTAACACGGAGGAGGGAATAAATTGATGGCTCTTGTGATTGGTCCATATTTCTCCACAGAAATCTATGGACGTAGGAAGCCCTTTCGGGTAGAAGGATCTGCAGAAACATCTTGGAAATATCGCCAGCGAACGCGACTGGTTCTTCCCGAAAGCGCAGCAAGACACCCAACAGATTTCCAATAAAGCAAGGACCTTTATAGAGGAAGGAATTTAGCGAAACTCCTTGATACACGCAGGCTGGGTCGAAGACAATTCGCAATGGTGTGCTTTTCTTCTCTGGACGGCACACTCCGTGATGTGGCAGGTAATAGACAGGACCCCTGTGCTGTTTCGCTTCTTCTGTTCCCAACTTTCGAGCCCATCCCTTCTTTTCATACTCATCTATTGCATGGATGTACATTTTTGCCTTCAAAGGATTTCTCTTCAAGTTTCTTTCCAATGACTCGAGGCACTGTTTCGCTAAAGGGTAATTGTCAGGAAGCTTAGCAGGATCCTTTTTCCACTGGAGACCGATAACAAATCGCCCGTCTAATCATTTGCAGGATGATTCAAACAGTTTGACTGCATTTTTCCATCTCTCGACATAGTTTTTGTAGGCATGTGCAATCTGGTGCGCGAATTTCTAGTGTCTCAAAATCGTAAAAGTTTTCCAGATCGATTTTCTTTGCAAAGTTCAGATGGGTGGTACTTGATTCTTTCGCATTGTCTGGGCCAATAACATGCCATCCAAGCTTTGTCTTCTTACCAACAGGTTCAAAAGGCAGGCCTTGCCGAACCTCACTTTCAGCATGGAGATGGCTGTATTGAACACCAAGAATTAGGTCAATTGGACCGGTGCGGTGGGGAAATTCGATGTCACTGAGGTGGTCAAAGGATTTTAGCCAGGTTCGGTCAAGGGCTGGGACGTTGATAATTGTGTGGTCGATTTCGTGTGCTTCGACTGGGTATGATTCGCTACCGTTGAGGGGTGAGATCCATAGCTTTACCCTTCGGCTGTCGCTCTGTGTGATCGTTTTACCGCCGACGACTGCTATGTTGATTTTCTCCTTTCTCCCTTGAAGACCTAGGGCTCGTGCAAATTCTTTTCGGATCACGGTGGTGCCAGCGCCACTGTCAACGAGAACGTTTCCTTCACGCGTTGTCCCATTTGCAGACCTGAAACGGACCCTTGCCACCGGCATGATACTGTCTTTGTGGAGCGCAGATCTTGCAGAGCTGATACGTTGTCTTGGTAAGGATCCTCCGTGAAGCAAACGATGATGAAGATACGTGCATCCGTCTGTGCCACATTTTTCCTTCGATTTACAATCTTTCGTTACATGACCTCGATTTAAACATGAGTAGCAGAGTCGTTGGTCTCTGGCGTACTGGATTCTTTCGTCGCTGGAACAATTTGCGAAGGTTGGACAGTCTACGACAGCGATGGTTTTCGGAGCATACGTAACATTGAAGGAGTTTCTTCTCTCTCTGGTTGGAATGGATTCCCTTTCTAGCAGGTCGCTGAGATCCTGATTTTGGTATATCGCCAAAATCCGGATCGAACTTGGCCTTAACGCGTTTTCTCAAAAACTTACTGATCGCTTCTAACGAGGGGGTCTGTCCCTTTTCTCTCAGGTCTGATGCTGTAGCTTTCCATTTGTCTATCATGTGATCGGGTAGCCGTTTTACAATACTTCTAAGGTTTCCTGTGGCACTAACATCTGCAAGGTGGTTAATTTGCTTCAGCGTTGCTGCGCTGTTTGCGACATCGAAGGACAATTGTTGTAAAGCCTCTCTATTGTTGTTTTGGATCTTACTCGCGTCGACCAACTTGTTAATATATGGTCTGGCAATTACGCTGGGTTGGCCAAACTGTTCTTTGAGAGTTTTTAGTGCGGTCGCGTACATTTTCCCCTGTGAACCAAGGCCGCTCACAGCGCGTTCCGCGTTGCTGACTAAATGCATTTTTAATTGCACAATTCTTACGTCGTCGGAAAGGTGCGGTTTATCATGAATATGCAATTTGAAACGTTCCATAAACTCAACGTACGTTAATGGATTACCATCATACTTAATCAATTTAATACTGGGAATGTCTTTGCAAGCTTCTAGTTTGTACAAAGCTTCCGCGATTGACATTTCTGATGCCCTATTTGATAACACTGTTTCCTCAAACTCAACCAGATTATCTATCCAGCTGTCAAACGATTCCGGCGATGACAGATCAGACTTTGGACTGCTGACAGAATTTTTTGTGGCATGGGCTTTAGGCTCTTCTGGGGCAGAATTACATGCAATATCTCGCGCAAAGTCACCATTTGATATGTTCGTACCACTAACACCAACAGGGGTAATAGTTAAGTCATTCTCCCCAACCGTGGCTTCTTGAGGCAGGGGTTCCTCAGGCATTTCATAATTAGGTCCAGCTGTACCCCCCACTGGTTCTAAGGAGCTGGTATTGCCATCTGCTGGCTGATCGACAGTCTGTTCATTATTTTGAGGCATTGGGTTAGCGTGTTCATGTACGGAGAGGGACTGAAGAAAGGTCTCAACGCTTTTTTCAATGTCGTAGAAATCATTTGTTAGAATGTCTTCCCAATCGTCTATTGTTGATGTTTGCCCTTCATCAGCGTACTCGTACATCTCAGCGTGACATTCACGCGCTAACTCAAAGTCCTTTTGTATTTGCAATAATTCTTTCTCAATTCTTTTGCGCATATCCGCGCCTTGGTCGATGAACTTTCTAACTCGGTTTAGAGAGCGTGTAATCTTACCTCTTAACTGGGCGCGCCTTTTCTTTAGACTACTTATCGTCTTTGCGTCTGACTCACCGCTCGGGGCTGAGTCCTTTCCCGAACTCGCTTCATTTGAACCGCTCTGGCTCAGGCTGTGGCTTTCGTCTTCGCTCATGATATCACCCAAATAACCTTGTTTGCCTGCTAACTCGGTGCCGAATATACCATTCTTCAGAACATGTTTCCAATTGGGCGAAATCAAACACAATCCAATGGAGATTTTTCGTAATATATTATAAATTCTAAATTGATTGGATTCTGATTAGATTACAGCTAAACTATTATAAAAACAACCTTAATCATAGCTCACAGTACCTGAAAAGTGGATCTCCACTGATTGTCAAACTCACACAAAATTCTGCTATCGTTCTCTTGCACGCTTGTCTCACAATGAATCTGATATCTCTGATTGCACTAACACCTAATCACTAATTCAATCACTTCTCATGCAAATCAAATAGGATCATGCTAAATTAATTTAAACTGCGAAATGATTAATAACCAAAATAATCTAATAATAATAACTAAAATAGTCAAACCATATGTAAACTGTCCGATCCAGAATTGCTCAATTTTTATGCCCAGAATCTTTTGAAGCAATGCTTGTCGCTCCTTGTTTCTTACCATTGTGAATAATGTTTAAGTCTGGACAGCACATGCGCAGTTGCAACATATAAGAATAAATCGGGTGCTTGAGGGGGTAATTCTGCATAAATCCCTTTAAAACAAAACCCAAACCACAGAAAAACAATGCTTCAAAATTTACAGTAACTGTCAAAATTCCTGAATTATTACCTCATTCTGACTTAACCATGGGGGACTGTTCCACCAAAGCGTTTTAGGTTGGAACCAAACAATCCTCTTGAACCTAAATCTGCTGGGTTTTCTTCGCTGGGGCAGTACCCCCAATCTCTTTTAATTGTTAATTTCAATATCTCATTCACTCGGTGCCTAACAAATTGTTTCCACTCCCCCCTACTTTTGATCCAACATAGGGCAGTCTTACAATGTAGCCAATACCATAGATTCCTGAATTCTACATTATGCACCATAGCCGTTGACACAGTATGAGTTGTGCCAAAATCCTTGCTGACATTAACTCTAACCTTTGTATAGTTTGTAATTTCAACAGTGCCACTCGGCATTTAGAGGTAAGCATTGTCGTATATGTGCCCTCATCAGTAACATATACCAAATACACAACCATGCAATAACCCTTTGTGCTTGCGTCTCCAAACCCATGTAGATCGCATTGGCAGATTACCTGCTTTGGATATCTAAAAACACATCTGCTATTCCTAATTTTCTTGATTGCGATTAAATCACTAACTATATCCTCCCACGCACGCTTATGGGGGCCCTCTAAATTTGCATCCTATTCAATATCTCCTTTACAACCATCTTGAAACAGCATTTTCATGCATATAATTATTATTATTATTAACAAAATTTATTCAGGGAGCCCACTCGCCAAAGCGATTTTCAGTGGGGCCCTGTTATAAAAATATGTCAAATCTATAGTTAATTCATAAAAAAAAATAACATATACAATTAATAGTTAGAATAAAAATACACAATCTAAGTTAATTTACAATAATATTTATAATAAATGTCATAGTTTACATAGAGTAAATTTTTAAAATCGCTGTAGTTCAGTTTTAAAACTTTTTAAAGTTTGGGCATGTCTTATGTTCTCTGGTAAGGTATTCTATTCAACTGAGGCTTGGTATATAAATCTTTGCTTGCCCCAGTTGGTTCTCACTTTAGGAAGATGGATATTATTTCTCCCTCTAGTATCATGGTTATGAAAAGTACTGTTCCGTCTAAGATTAATATCATAATTAATTTCATAATTTAAATATTTATACATTGTAACAATGCGGTGAAGCCGTCTACGCGTGATGAGGGATTGCCAATTCAAGAAATTAAGAGCTTCACTCGCCGAGCTATGTTTTGGTCTATCCAGGATAACTTTTGCAGCTCTGTTCTGAAGAATTTGCAGATTTGCCATCAAGGTGTCATTATTCTTGTCTCCCCAAATTATATCAGCATAGTCAAACAAAGGGGCAATTCAGCTCATATATAACGTTTTTCTTGTTTCCAGTGCTAAAAGATACTTAACCCTCTGCAGTACTCCAATCCTCTGACGAATCTTTCTGGTAATTTCGTCAACATGGTCGGCCCATGTTAAGTGCTGATGTATGACAACGCCTAAATTTAAAATACTCCACTCTTTCCAGTTGAACTTCATTTACACAGATAGTCAGATCTTGAACATTTTGATATTTTGAAGAACGACTGCTACCAAACAATATAAACTTTGACTTGGAGGTATTTAAAGTTAGGAGATTGGAGTTAAACCAGAGTGATAGATTCATAAGATTTTCGTTCATTTTGTTTTGGATCTCTGTAGGGGAACTTCCACTGTAGTAAATAACAGTGTCGTCCGCGTACATTAGCATATCACAATGCTTTAAAGAAGTAGCAAGATCGTTAACATAAATAACAAACAGAAGAGGGCCCAAAATGCTCCCTTGAGGGACGCCTACTGAGATTTCACTAGAGCACGATTGAGAGTTTCCAACAGATGTTACAATACTGCGATTCACAAGATAGGATTCAAACCATTTCAATGCTTGTATATCTAGTCCGATATCTCGCAGTTTATTCAGAAGCAAATTGTGATCTACGGTGTCAAATGCCTTGGCCAGATCTAAAAAGGCTGCACCAGTCATGTTCCTTTGATCTAAATTAAGCAAAATTGAGTCCGTGAAGTGTGTAAGAGCAGACACAGTTGACAACTTCGGGCGAAAACCAAATTGCTTAGGTGTGAGTATATTTTGCTCCTCCAAATATCCATATAACTGTTGATGAACGGCTCGTTCCAAAATCTTGCTTATAGCGGGCAATATCGTTATTGGCCTATAATTGTTACAGTCCAATCGATCTCCTGACTTGAAAAGCGCTACCACTCTCCCATATTTCCAAATTCGAGGATAAACACCACTTTCTAACGAATGATTAAATAGACCAGTGAGTCTTTTGTGAGTGACAGTGGCGGAATCTTTGAGAAGACGTGCACCTATATGGTCTAGTCCGGTTGCCTTGTTTGCCTTAAGTCGTTTTAAGCTATTCAGGACAAACTCTTCTGAGATTGATGTAAGGTGAAATAAATTTCCAGGAGTTGTAGATGAATTTCGAGGTTCTGATGAGGCATAAGTATTGGTAATTGCACCTATACCTACTTTTAGAATCTGGATTAATTTCGTTGATACACTCGAAAAATGTTTGTTCATAATCGACGGTATAGATTTATGGTCAGAGTAAAGAACACCATCACTTTCTATACATGAAACAGAGCTATTTCCTTTCCTTGTAGTAATTTCATTGAGTGTTTTCCACAATGCGCTGTGATTGTGTTTGTTCTCTTTAATTGTCCTCGTATAATATTCGGATTTACATCTCTTCACTTCAGCATTGACGAAATTTCTTGTCTATTTATACATAAATTTTTCTGTACCATTTTTTATACTTGTGGCAAAGTCAGACACCGGGGCGAAGTGAGACACGACACTTCGCCTATTTTGCATAAATTAAAACTTTTACTAAATTCTACAAGTCAGGACAGTTGGCCAGCGGTTTCTCATTGAGCGTGTTTTCAACATGGCGGCCATCTCATGTGTTTATACGTTGTAGCTACTGAAGTGAAATCACAAATCAACGTTCAGCGAAAATTTGCAAGGTAAGAAGTATGTTGTCGATATTTAACAGGGACGGCGGAAGCTCGATAATTAGGGGGCGGGACTAATATTCATATATTTGTGTTTTGCAATACTGATTTCTTTTGAAATCAATTGTTTTCACGGTCTGTGAACACGAATATATGAATATAAGCCGCCCCAATTATCGAGCTTCCGCCGTCCCTGAATTAATTATTTAGATGAATAGTATGTTTCAACCGATACATTAATGCGTCTTTTCTAAAGCATTTCCAATACCCTTTTACATACTAGCTACTATAAATGGATTTTAATTATGTTCATTTCATTCAATATTTTGACATTATTCTGAGTTCATTTTCAATTCACTCCGAGGCATTGTTAGATTCCTGGTGGTCTGTCCCTAATAATTATCTGTTGCATCCATTCTATTAATTTGAGGCTAAATATTATGTTGAATGAAAAGTTAATTATACCAAATATATATTTTTATTTTTCTGGTTTTGTTTTACATAAACGACAGAAAATCAAAGAGATATTTACATTTACTAACTTTTTTCTACATTTCCTTCCTTGTAGGAAATGTCCAAGAAAAATAACACCATCACTCAATTTTTCAAGCCATCTGGTGAGATTTCTACCACTCAAATTCCGGACATTGGTACCTCATTTTCCCCGGTTGAAAAAGACGTCTCCTCAACCTCAACAACTCCCGTATACACCCAAATGGGCTCCATACTACAACACTGGTAACGCCCAAAGCCTTCCATCCTGACCATAATTTCAAGTTTCCAACGACTACGAAAAAAAAACAAAAAAGATCGTGTCAATGGCAATGGTTTGAAAAGTATCCTTGGCTAGACTACTCTATGGAAAAAGATTCAGTAACTTGTTTCGTATGCCGAAAACAGAATGCTCAAAAAAATCTAATAAGTGAGCATTGTAAGGAATTAGCTTTCTTGGAGACGGGGTTTCGAAATTGGAAAAACGCATTATCTAAGTTTGAAAAGCACCAAGTAAGTAAATGTCACATTGCTGCCACATCAAATGAGATAGTCATTCCACAGTGCGGAAATGTGATCGCAATGATCAATGAGAACGAACGGGCAAACATGGAAACGAACCGTCGTTGTTTTTTGGAGATATTGGATGCAATACAGTATTTGGCTCGTCAAGGCTTACCTCTTCGAGGAGATGATGACGAAGAATCAAATTTAATTCAGTTCCTAAAGAAGAGATTGAAATCGTTTCCAGAGCTAAAAGATTGGCTAGCAAGAAAACAAGTCAAGTTTACATCACATGATATTCAAAATGAGGTGCTTAACATAATGGCTAATAATGTGGTAAGAGCATTACTAAAGAGTATAAGCGGGAATATTTATTCTATCATGGCAGATGAATATACAGATGTTTCGAACAAAGAGCAGCTAACATTTTGTTTACGTTGGGTGACAGATGCTCTTGATGTTGCAGAAAAATTTTTAGGATTTTACGAAGTACCAAACATTAGGAGTGCAACAATAGTCGCGGTACTAAAGGACATCTTATCTCGATATCAACTAAATCCAGATCTATGTCGTGGTCAATGCTATGATGGCAGTAATATGCTTGGTAAATCATCTGGTGTAGCAGTGCAGATACGAGAGCTACAACCACTGGCCCTGGAGACGCATTGCCATGCACATTCTTTATCACTATCAGTAAAGGATACTACCAAACACATTAAAATTTTGCGTGATACAATGGGCACAGCCGGTGAAATTGTGATCCTAATAAAATACTCGCCGAAACGGGAGAACATGCTTGGAATGATGAAAGATCAAATAGAGTGCGATTCCGAAGAGGTTTTCAAAGCCAATGGGATACTTAAACTTTCAGAGACACGCTGGACCGTTAGAGCAGACTGCTTCAAAAGAATCTTAGAAAATTACGATGATCTAATGAGAGTCTGGGAGCATTGTTTGGAGAATGACCGTATGCAGACCGACGTGAAATCTCGGATCAGTGGCGTAAAAAAACAAATGAAATCTTTTGATTTCTTTTTTGGATTGAATATTGGTCACCGACTATTTTCCCACACAGATAACCTATCTAGAACATTACAGGCTGAAAAAATGTCTGCTTGCCAAAGTAAAAGAAATGCAAACCTGGTGGTCAGCGTCTTAGAAGGAATGAGAAGTGAGGAATCATTCAATAGTTTGTACGATTCCATCATTTTGAAAGCAAAGCAGCATTCTTTCATATCAGAACCTACCAATAAAAGAAAAAGGAAAGCCCACGACTACTCAATCGTAACGTTTCTTGATGGCAGCAGTAGCAGTGAACCAGCATATCACCCTTGCACAGCACGCGATAATTACCGAAGTATTTATTACGAGGCATTAGATACATTGGTTACATCGATCAAGGAATGATTTTCACAGCCGAGCTTCGAAGCGTACGAGAAAATGGAAGGACTTCTCCTAAAATCAATCCAATCATTTGATACATCGGAAAAAATAGAGTATCTTCGTGCGCACTACAGCAATGACATTGGCCGTATTTATATTAAGGGACGGCTTAGACTTTTACATTTGAGTTAATATTTGTTTTAAGAGCAAATTAGACTGTTTCTTGATTAACATTCCACTGTTTTTATTCAAGGTTAAAGGTCATAGTTATAAGTGTTTTCTACATATGGTTTTGAAGCATTAAAAACGATTTCAGGTTTATTATATTAAAAAATATTAATTTGAAACATGGTTGCAGTTGTGTACTTAAAGTGCTTCTTTAAATAGATCTATTTTATTCTGGCTAGAACATACAGGCATAGCTAAAAGAGAGTATACACCCCCACTTTTTTTCAGGACCAATTTTGTGATTACTGTCCTAAAAACAAGGAGAAAATTTCATATGTGAAAGTTAAATTTTCAATCAAATCAACAGTTTTACAGTCTTATTGAATTATTATATATAGTACTTACAAGTACACAAAACAACATAGATTTTGAATTCTGCTACAAATTCCAAATGCATTCAAGCCATTTTACTTGAACCAATTAGCCAGTCACACATTGTATCACTTGGTCATGCAAATGTCAAAATGTTACAAGTGTCCATGCCTTAGCAACTACTCAGTTAAGCAAAACTTTGACTGTCTTAGTGTGATCTTCAATGCTGGTAAACTTCCTACCTCTAAATGACAAATTCCAGCCTGTTCTGGCCCGTCTGCGGGATTTTTCCCGCGCTCTAGAGCTATTCTGCCCTCTCATTGGTTGTCCTGCGGGATACAGGGGGGGGGGGCGTCGGAGAACTTTATAGTTTTTCTCTGTTTTTTATTTTCGACTAGAGAAGTACTAGTTTTTTACCAACTTAGTAGATTTGTACTTGTTTTTTCTTTTTCATTAAACAATTTATGAAACTACTAGAAGTCACTTGGTTACAGGGCTGATGAAGGGGCCCCGGGGCAGCCAAGGGTCCTGAAGGATCAGCACAGTAAAAAAAATAGGTACGCAATGCGTACATGTGGGTAGCCTGTAAAACATTATAAACTGCAATAAAGCTTCTATAGTTGCGACTAATTATCAACTGATGCAATAAAATATTATTTTCTAGTCTTAGTTCTAATGCCATAGACAACGGAATAAACGCGCTATAGTTAGCTGGTTGAATACAGTTATAACGAAGTCGATTTATTACACAATCTATATATTATAATATTTTATTGTATTAAATACATTTTACGACAGATCAAAACATATATAAAAGCATTTTTACAAGAGATAGGAAATGAAATTTTTTTAAGCAGAATAGGTGAACAGAACAAAAAAGAGAGTAAGGTTCCGAGATGGTGCAAACATTGTCTGATAACATAAAGCTTAGTTTAGAAGGAGAAAAAGAAGGTTTCAGACTTTTTCAAATTATTTCGTTTTGATGTCCCTTGATTATCAACATTTCTTTGTTACATACAAGATTGGTTCTTTTGTTGATAAATCAATGTTATAGTTATGTTAATAGTCAATAAAGGTTAAACGTTATTGTTCCAGTAAGATTATACCACTTGTTTGCCAAAGTTTATTGGCAATACGTTTCACCATTATAACTGAAGATGATAGTATGATTTCATTGATCCATTAGGAAGGTACAGGTGGTTTGGAATGTTGATTACAGATAACTTATCAGCATCAATTAGCTGGACGTAATAGCACCAGTTCGTAGGTCCAAAAATTGCGTGGCTTTTTCCAAGTTTAAATTTATCAGTTGACAATATCTTATCCCCGTGGTAATCAGTCCGACAATCAGTCAACATTGAATGCCATCAATCATCATTGATATAAATGTGTATTGCTCAGTAGTAGTTACCATGAAGGTATGAGTAGCGATTACCAGTAAGGTTACCAGAGAACTTTGTTCTTGTTTGGCATTCGTTGTTGCGATGAACAGATTACAGTTGCGGTATGTGGAGAGAATATGTCTGGAAAGAGGAACAAGGATTTCCGATATATCGGTGTTGTGGTCTTTTTATCTTAGGAAGAATTTAGCGTTGATCCACGCGGTTGGCAACAAGCAACGCTGACATTTTTAAAAATTCTTTGTGATTGTAGCTGATTGAGACCTGTAAAAAGCAAAAACTCGCGTTATCAAAGAAACAAACGCATATGTATAGCTAGTATGCAATACGAATCTATTATTTACCTTTAAATTATTAGTGTTCAGCTTCGACATCGTGTGAATAATTTGAAAATATGCCACCAGAACCTAAAAATAAAGGGAAATGGTCAAATTGCATGAGAAAAGAAAATGAAAAAAAACTCAAAATTAAATGCTTACCTTTTGTTAAATTGGAGCCAGGCCAATAAATATTGGCCTGTGTTCATCTAACCATGTCAATACTATGGTTTTTCTTGCAACATGCTAACGCTATAGTCGGACGTGATTACCTCCTTACCTGGGTTCATCTTACCATGTCAATACTATGTTTTTTTTTGTAACATGCTAACGCTATGTCTGGATGTGATTACCTCCTTACCTTTAGAGAGGCCCAAATTGCTTTGTGATCACTAAAGTAAGTTTCAAGAGTACCTGCCTGGATATCCTCTTCAATCAAATTCGTATACAGATGATCAATCAATGTTCCATTATCTGTTGTAGAACTAGTTATAAGTTGCTCGAAGCCATTGGCATTGATCATAAGATTGTACAGTGATCTTCGTTCTATCTCATCAAGCCAGTTGACATTAAAGTCTCCAATGATTATAACCTGTGGAGAAGGATGTTCCTCCAATGTCGTAGAAATGGCAGCCAAAAGAGATGATAATGCAAGTGTTGGAGATCTGTATATTCCAATTACAATTAGGTCTGGACATTCGACCATCTTCATAATAGTTACCTCGATCCCATGACAGTTTCTCGCACAAGGATATCCAATCATCATAGGAAGCTTAGAATAAACAGCTGTTCCATGATATGGACGGTTGAGATTTGAAACGTTGTCATTTCTGAATAACTCATGGCCTTCAATTGCGTACATTTCACCAGGATCTTCTTCACGAAATCTCGTTTCGGTAAAAATTAGGATATCAGCGGACGTATAATTAATATCTTTTCGTATATCTTCAATGTGTTTGTGCAAAGATCTTGCATTAAGATAGCAAATTTTTAAATCAGTGGGATTCAGCATGTACAACGGAGTGAAACAAAGATCTAATTTATACTCATTTCTCAGTATGTGCATTTCTTCTACAACTTTAGGATCAACGGAAATCTTACTTTCGCACAGATCAGTTATATATAGCCCTTCGATTGTTGTTACTCGGCTTAGAGCGACGTAATGAATATGAGGAATTGCTCTTCTTGTATTTAAATTAACGACGATTTGTGACTGAGTATCACCTTGTGATCAATGAACCGTTTTCGCGGCAGCTGGCCTCAAAGGAAATTGCTTTCTTACCACTTGAGCAGACTTCGTTTTACCTACAGCAAATTGCGTTGTAACAGGTTTTATTGGTGTCCAAGTACTTAGTATAGATGTACTTCGAGCATAGAGAATTCTATTTTCTTGTCGGGTTTTCTTTCCAACATCTTCGTCGTCAAACTGAACCCAAACGATGCCAGAAGGTTTAGTATTATCAGTCAATTGAACATGCTTAATGACATTACTTGCACCGTTTGTCAGACCATCATCAGTGCGTATATTCACCGCAATTTCTGTTCGTTGTCCGACAGCAATATGCAGTTTATAAGCCAACTGTTTTGAATTTTTCAAAGGAACATGTGGTATTTGTCTCATTATCTTTTCTTTCAGTTCAGCTGAACAGGCTCCAATTACGCTATCTTGTGCCCTGATTATGTATTTATCACGATCATCAAATGATTGATAAACTATATCATTGTATTCATCAACTAAAGCATTTTGAATGAATAAACGTGGGGCTTCTTTGGGGCAAGCACTCTCTTCAATACATCTTTCCTTTAGTTTTTGTAGATCACTCGGAGTATGATTACCTTCACGAAGTCGATTAAGTATCTCTGCAAAAATCTTGCTTTCTCTCTGTCGCATGATTTCATCAAGCTCAAACATTCTAAAATATTTTCTCCATAAGTTCGGGGCAAGAACATCATAAGAACTTAAAGACTGAACATCTGTAAAAATGTAACCATCCATTACAGGTTTGAGTTGAAATAAGTCACCTATTGTGATTATGCTGACACCGCCGAAATCTTCTTTACTACCTTTTAAATCTTTCAAACGGTTGTTCAATTGAATGGTGAACATGCTGTTGCCAACCATTGATATCTCATCAAGTAATATTAACTTTAATGAACTTAGTTCGCATCTCATCGTATTTAGTCTTCCAGAATCTAATGCTTTATAATTTTTCAATGATTGACTGGCTGGAATGCGCAAGGCACTGTGAATTGTGTTACCTTTTATAAGATATGCAGCTTTTCCTGTTGGAGCAAGCAATAATATATGAACACGATGAAAATCGTCCCCTGCTCGTGAATTGTAATACTTCAATGCTGCCTGGTATATTGATTTAATAAGGTGAGACTTTCCAACACCTCCACTTTCACTGAGAAATGCGTAAAATGGTTTATCTGATGTTTTTATCAAATGCAAAGCATGATAGAAGAATTCTCTTTGTTTCTTATTTACAGCTGAACTAAGGTTCGATATTCGTTATCTTGCATTTCATTTAAAATTAACGGTTCATTATTTGGTAACGAAGACGGTATGCCCAAATTTTCTGCAAGATGATCAAATGTTTCGTTTAAATCAGGATGTGTATCCACGCATCCTTCATCCTGATCATGTCGTTCAACATCTTGTGTCACAGGTGCTATAGTATCAAAAGCATCATCATCACATTCCTCTAAATGATTTCCAATTTCATTCAAGTCTTCACTACAAACAGCATATTGCTCCATTTGCTTACTGATTTCTTCATATTGAGCTAAATAGTGCTCTTCAAAACAAGAATAATTTCCCATCAAATCGGTTTGTTCATTCCGCCAAGGAGTAAAGAGCATAATTAACTCTCGATAATGTTTTTCAGGTTGAGCCTCTTTATTGAACCAGATGCTTCGAATTATTCTAGCTCGAGATCTTTTCTTTACTTTCTTATTTTCAGGAGCTTTTACAACCTGAAGTTTATCGTCATTTAACAACTCGTCGTCACTATCTTCATCATCATTATTTTCTAATGGAAGATTATCAACGTCAGGCTTGTTTGTTTTCCTATATGTTTTTTGACCACAAGAGTCGTACCATGCTGCCCAATCGGCCAGTGTGACATTTTGCAAACGATCAGGTCGTTCTACATATCTTTTTAAAAGACCACCAGACTGAATTTCTTCTGATTCATCAGACATTTTCTCTATTTCACTTAATGGTTTTAGTAATTCGACTCTTTCAGAAGGAGGAGATGTGTTAATGAAAATTACACTACAAGAAGATTTTCGCATTGGAAGTTGCAGAACAATATAAACTGCTTCTTGTGCACATATTTCAACTGAATTCAAAAATTTGTTGCCAATATCACGAACTTGCTGTTTGATATTTGTATTACCTTCTTTCGCTTCAGCACAAGCTTTACGCAGTAATTCACTCATGCCTTTTTGACCTTTGGAAATATATGATACAATATACATTGCACATGCATATACATCTAAGACATATTGAATGTCCATATTTGCTCGCCATGCCCGAAGGCAAACAGGATTGTAATTATTAATTCTTAATTCATTTGGACTTCTTTTTAAGAAGATTGTCGGAGTATTCAAAGATGATCGTATAGCAAGAATATATTGCCGTTCCGAAACACCTAACTCTTGCAGTAATTCATCAAAACTGATGTCTTTACCTTCCTTAAAATCATTTAGTTTCGTTTCAATCTCTTTCCACAATTCTTTGCTGGCTTTAGCAACAGTTGAAGAGATATCTCCATCGAGTGGATAAAGAATCTGAGTACATCTGATTGGTGGTTGTGGATAGTTGAATCTACAAATATTTTTAGACTTTTTCCTGCAAGTATGAGAATGTCTGTGTGTCTGTCTATTTACAAGATCAAGTAATTCTGTATCATCTTCTGGTTTGCTGCAGGTAATTATGCTATCAATATAAGCAACAACATCTTCATCTTTATCAACACCAAACACAGGTGCATTTTCAAGCCATATCAACATATGAATATGAGGTGATCCCCGCTGTTGGTATTCAACTCTATAAAACCAATCTTTAATTTTTCCTAATGGAGCAAGCTCACTCATTAAGACATCTTTTAAGAAGGTATTGAACTGAAAATCAAAATGTCTTGAACAGGTTACTGGGTCACTTTGTATTAGTCGACACCTTTCCTCCCTTAAGATTGTTCAATTCGTCATCACTATAATCCTTGTGATCAATAAGTTTACCAAGAATTCTTAATAAATGATTCCATTTGGTTTCTGCTGACGAGAAACTGCAAAATAATGATGCTGGTCCTAACTGACGAATCATGGCAAACAAGTCTTTTTGGCTCGTTCAAAATAAGGTGGTGAACCCCTAAGAGTTTTCAAGAATCTGAAACCATCATCATGGTTTATTAAACTTTGTAAACCTTCTGCAGTTTTTAGGTCTCCAGCAGTAAGTGTTCTGTACCTATTTTGTTTTTTCGGAGTGCAATCTGTGACTGACCAATCAAGAATTTCATTTGTAACTTCTTAGCTTTGAAGAATATATTTTCAACACACATGGCAGCTCGTCGATCAGATCTTCTTAACTCAGATTTACATATGTCACTATAGTAAACACTTCTTAACCTTTGTTTATCATCAGGTCTTTTTGTCCAAGAAATATGCCTGGATATGACATTTCTTCAGAGTACTGATCTCTAAATATACTCAACGGCCTGTTACCTTCACCAGGAGCAACATTATAGATTTCCTGTCTTCACTATCACTGACAAAGTCTGGAGGAGTCAACATACTATCAGTTACTCCAGCTGGTATTTCTGCTTCAGCCTCACTCCATTCATCTTCAGGGAGGTTTGATGTTAAATCATCTGCACCATTTGATGCTCAATATCACTGGTCACATCCAATGACTCTTCCAGGTTTCTCAACCAATTCTGGTTTATAATAATTCCTTGATCTTGATACAAAGCACTTGTGTAATTAACCATGCAGTTGCTTGCATTACTTTGTGAGGTCTTATATTTCATTGAAAGTGCAGAGCTTTTGTATTGTAATCTTCGTTTAAGTTGAACTTTAATAGTACCCATCTCATCTGATAGTCTGGGCAGCACATTAACAGTGCTGTTTACATCTGCAGGCACATTGACAACATTACCTGTAATCTTGAGTTGGCCACCTCTTGGGGCCTGAAAAATCTTTTGAAATGCCAACCGAGGAGCAATAAGTCGACATTCTAGTTCATTTAGATCAAAGAAAGAAGGTTTTCTGGAAATTTCATGCCATTAGCAATTGCACAAGGGGACTTTCCCTTTTTTTAAATGGTTGTTACAAGTTTGACAAACCCATTCCATATTATCAACACTTTTTATATTTTGTAGATGCATAGTTATGTCAGGATTTACCAGTATTAGTTTGTCTGCAGGCAAAACACTATGTTTATGCCATAATTGGTCACAGCAAGTGCAAATGTACAGGGGTCCAGCAGATACAGAGTTATGAAACTTTGTCACAAGAGCCAATTCATTACTTTTTTCATTAGACAAGCTATAACTCACAGGGTTTGAAGTTTCATTTCCAATTGATTGTGATTTGTCACCTTTCCTCTTACCTTCTTTTGAAGAGCAGGAATTTTTTCTAGAAGCTCTCTTTCTTTCACGATCTTTTGCAAGTCTTGTTTCCCTTTCTTCGTTTGAAACAGTCTGTCTTCTTAAATTAGTATTCTGTCTTCTCTTTTCTAGTCTTTTCTTTCTTTCCTCAAGAGACTCATTTTCTTTTGTTGCGTTTACTTTTTTCTTTTTCAAATGGTAATATTCTTTTGCTTTTAGCAACCTATTTGTATGCTGTTCGTCAGATTCTCTCTGTCTTTTATTCCTTTGACGTTCACTTGGCGTTTGTGGAGAACTTTGGACTGTTGTGACATCTTTCAAGTTAGTGTGAAGTGAGTCTTTATTTACAAGTGCATTACATGTCCCAGTACTTGGATAGTTTTGTTTTGAAAATGGAATTGTTTTTTTTCTGATTGCTTCTTAACAAATTACTCTGGTTTATGCTAACACCCTTCAACTCAAATGGAGTTGCAATATTTGTATCATTAATGTAATAGTTCCATGTTGCACGAAAATATAAAGCAAGGTCTTCCACACCTTCAATTGAAATCAAAATGCTATAGCCCAGTGCAGATGGCATTCCATACCGATCACGTGAATGAGAATCGAACACTTTAAACACACCAGGAAAAGGCATTATGATGGCAACAGTATTCATATCCACAGTTAACAAAGCACTTTTGTAATTCAAATTAAGAAAAACCTCGTTAAAAGCATTTTCGAGTGTAACAAAAGGGAAATTGTTCGCACATGTTGATAATCCTCCAGAAAAGGAATCACTGTACTGTAAATGAAAAGTGTGGTCATCTATGCTAACAAACATGGGGACATCTATTAATAGTAAATAGCTCTTATTGATGCTCTTACTAATTATACTATATAAATCATTACCATAATTTAATATAGTGTTAAGAACTGATTTATCCCAAATATTGACTGACTTAATTTCTTTATAAATAATAGCACAGAGTGACATTGCAACACATTGCTTACCAGCATTTGATCCAAAGAGTAAATCATTGCCTTGATTATAGTCACCGCATACAGTGAATGTTGGATCAACTATATCATTAATGGTTCGGGGACCAGGATTTTCTTCAACATCATTCGATAATTTTAATAACTTTGGTACAAAAACAACTTGATAGCACATCATTTGCAAATACCCCATACATACTTTATTACTTTTTTGGGCTTTCTTCAACTGTGTTATAAAATGTGGAAAATAACTTTTAACAACAAAAAACAATAATATTTCATTCCAAAATTTGCCTTTCATTTGCATTTTACTTTCACACCTTTCCACAAAATTTTTAAACGAACCGATTCTTGATCGATAAAGATCTAGTGTTATTCCCATTTTTAAATGTTATGCAAGTTATATTAATATGGCACAAAAAAATTGTGTAGCAAAAAAAAACGTACCCACACCGATCGCACAAGTTGTAATCAAATATTACTGTAGAGTATTTTTAATATAGTAAGTTTAGGTTTAGCTGCAGTACGTTAACCCGAAGTGGGTTTGATCTTTTCACACCCGCACAGTGGCAAGGTTTTGTTTGGTATACTTGCACAATCGCAAGGTTATTTTGGCAACGTGGCCTTTCACGTAAAAGATGCCTGATCAATATCAGTGCGAGCTCGTTGGCCCCAATTCGTTTGCGTAAAATCAACAGTAAGATGGTGTCTATATGTATTGTTATTTAACGTTTCGGCAATTTGAGAAATATAGAATCGCAAAATCTTTAACTTACTTTTTTACTTGTGATTTATAATATAATTCCCGTCTTATACGTCAAAAATGTATGATGTTATAACACCACGATCTCCGACCCAGTGAACTCTATACAACAATTTGTTTGTTTACAGTTCAATGCTCTGACCTAGCCTCCTTCGCAAACTCCGCAGGCACAACCAGTGAACTCTATATATATGGAAGGCTCGCTCCAGTTCAAAGTGTGAAGCCAAACATGGCGGATCATGAAGGCTGCTTGGGTACCGAACCAGTTCCCCACGAAGCATAAAATGCGCGAACCGCGCGTGGAAATTAAAAACACGAATTATAAAACTATGACGAAAAATAAAAGCGCTAACATTTCGGACGTTACAAAGTTTTAAAATTACGTAGTTTTTAAAAATGAATACATA